ATGCCTTTAATCCCAGCACTTGGGAGGCAGAGACAGGTAGATCTCTGTTAGGTCAAGGCCAGTCTGGTCTACATAGTGAGTTCCAGGCCAGCTGGGGCTACAGGGAAACCCTATCTCAAAAAGACCAAAAAGAAAAAAAAAGGAAATGCCACAAAGCAATATAGAACAGGGAAGCTGATCAGAGAGCAAGTGGTGAGGAATCTCTCAGCCAGTTTTTATCAATGGAGCAGTTAAATACTAGTGAGATTACAGGATGTTACACTGTACCCAGTGACAAAATTATATATTCAGTATCAGATCATTCAATTCCCCCAAAAAGTATACACAGGTAGTCTAAGGCTAGTGAGCTGGGAAGTAATGGAATATTGCCTCTAGCCAAATTCAATAAGCAGAGAACTTCACATTATATAAAGTCTCAGTACAATTTGGGAATGGCAGATACTCAGTATCTTAAATGGAGAATATTATTTGTATACTATCAGTCAACACTATGAGTAGAGAATATGCCATATGCAATTTCTTCATTGTTTTACAAGAAATTTCCTCATTATACTTTCTATCAACTATTTTCTCTTTTAATAAACATCTTTAAAAGCTCATATGGAGCCAGCAAGACAACTATGGAAGAGAAGTGCTTACATGTAACCCTGACAACTTGAGTTCAGATACCCTGAACCAAGTAAAAAGCAGACGAAGTGGCACATGTCTGTAATTCAAGCACTGCCACAGTGAGTTGAAGGCAGAAAAAGCAGTATCTCCTGGAAGCTTGTAGACCAGCTAGCCTAGAGTATACAGTGCAGAGGGAAACAAGACTCTGCCCCCAAACAAGGAAGAAGATGAGGACTGACACTCAAAATTATCCTTTGACCTCCACGTGTGAGCCCTCACACACAAACATACAAAAACAAATTATATACATACACAGACATAAAAATAAAAAATAAAGCACATGTGGAACAGGTAAGACATCACAATGGCAATATATGTCAACATCTAGAATTTCTATGACTGTACAGAAAACCTGAAAGACAGCTGAATTCACCATATAGAAATTGGGTGAACAAGAGGAGACAAAAAGAAAGAAAAGAAAGAAAAAGAAAGAAAGAAAGAAAGAAAGAAAGAAAGAAAGAAAGAAAGAAAGAAAGAAGGAAGAAAGAAAGTGGGTGAGAGGCAGGGAGATAGGTAGGTATAGAGAACAAATCTTGCCTGAAGACCCTACATCTATCATATAGTAAACTCCACACTGAGTATGGTTTTATAAGTTGTGTTTTCCTAAGAATTAGTCATTGTTTTCAAATGTATTCATATGAAAGCACTCAGAATTTCCCATTTTTACCAATCCATGATGTGTACACACATATATAATTATAAAAATTTCTGCCTTTATATAAATTAATTATACTTGTGGTCTGTCCATTTTATTATTCCAACCAACTTCTTTTTGTTCATCTACATTATATACTTTATTAATTTCAATGTTTCCCACTCCTTCCTAATGTTTCCTTTCAATATTACTCCTAAGACCAACAAAATGAGATTCTTGCTTAGGTCACAAATTTTTTCTAGACATAAGCATATATTAATTGTATAAATGATTAGGTTTCAATATGAAATTTCTGTCCATGTATATAGTATACTTTGATCTAATCCAGACCTTTTCAGCCTATTATCAGTCTTTTATGAAAATCCCTAGTGTTTTGTCCTCACATTTGAACTGCATATTATCAGGCATCACAATTACAATGAAATATTCAGATAGAGAGGTTACTCTCTTCTTCTACTACTTAACTAGTTTGCCAGGACATTGGGACTGGCCAACCCTAATACTAAGGAGCATTCAGGAAATTTTACAAAAGAGAATGACATCATGATGAAAACTTTAGGCCAATCCTACTTCACTTCTAGAAGCAGGATACTTAGCCATCTCCAATAAAACTGTTATTTCGTTGATAAGGATGAATACCTACTAAGTGGGTGTCTTCAACTGCTTTGAAAAAATTACCAACCAAAACCAACTTAGGGAGGAAAGGGCTTATTTTATCTTACATCCCCCAGGTCACAGTTCATCACTGAGGAAAGCCAAGGCAGGAACTCAGGGCAAGAACCTGGAGCACAGACCATGGAGGAACATTGCTTATTAGCTCACTCCTCTGGCCCATGCTCAGCATGCCCAGGGCCACACTGACCAGGGGTGACTCATCAATAATGGGCTGAGGCCTCCTACATCACTCAGCAACAACAAAATGCCCGAAAGACATGGCCACAAGCCAATCCAATGGAGAAAATTCCTCAATTGAGGTTCCCTCTACCCAGATCTGTCAAGTTGACAACTGAAGCTGTCTGGCACAGTGGGCAACAATCAATCTCTGTCATAATATCTCACACAAACCAACAAAAAAAGAATATCAAGCATGTGAGGGCACAAAAACAAGACTTTAAATAACAAAGATAATTTCAGTTCCATACAGATACTATAAAAAGAAAAATGAATGAAATATCCTTGATGTGTAGTCTAAGGTACTTACTAAGTGGAAATGATTGATCCTTGAAAAAGTGACTTATTTCAGAACATAAAATTTAAGCCTTTTCCTCAAGACCCAGAACCAGAAACATTCTCTGAATTCTGTGAAATTCTAAGAAAGCAAAGCTTTTAATTAATGTAAGAATTACAATAATTATTAACTGCTTTTGAGATAGTAACTTGAATTTTTGTACTCTAGCATAAAATATCTCTAACATGAACTACATGTACTTTTAGCTATCAAAATAAAACCAAAGCAAAATGATTACTTAGGCTGAAGAACTGATTGCTTTAATAGTTAATCTCTCGATAATATCTAGGAAATGTTAACAAAAACATATACAAAAGCTGAGAAAATAGCATATGTATCCCCATTCCGCCTTGTTCTTCATAGTCCTACTTGTTCACAGCAACTTGGAATAGTAGATAATATCAACGATTTATTATTTTACCTTTATGAGTTTTGATGATTCAGTTTGCCAAACTATAAGAAAAAAATAAGTAACTAGAAATCAAAAATGTTTCATATCCTTAGATGTCCCGAAAGAGACCAAATTTATTGGGTGTAACAAAAGGTTACTCTTCCACTTCAATATAGGGTTGACTAAGTAAGCATAAACTTTACCTTAATTTACATTTCAGCTGTTGTTATTTTTCCAAAATGATTCAAAAAGTTATTTGATAAAGAGGAGAGAAATTATCTTTGAGGTATGTCTTCAGATAATACTTGGCAAGATTAATACAATTAACTACATAGATGAGATGGCTGGCCTTGAAAGGTGACATCTAGCATTTTAAGGCACTGAGGTCATAGTTATCAATAACAACATACTGCATAATGACATTCTTCCCAGGAAATTCACCTCCCAATTAAGCCCTATGGTACTTGTCCTCAAGTGCTTCTGATTTCAAAGAGTGGGGAAAGCCATGTATGTACAATAATATATTTTTTTGTTGTTGTTTTGTTTTGTTTTTTGGAATTTATCCACATACTTGTATCTGCAGTTCTAAAAAGCTGCATAGTCAAAATTAAATCAAGGGTTGGAGAAACGGTTCAGCAGCTAAGAGTACTGGCTGCTCTTGTCAAGAACCCAGATTCACTTCCCAGCACCCAAATGACAGCTAACAAACATCTGTAACTACAGTTCCAGGGTATGTGAAACCCTCTTCTGGCCTCCAAAGGCATGGCATACACTGTAACAATTACAATCTTGCAGGCAAAAGATTCATCCACATAAAATAAAAATAAATAAATCCATATGGTAGTTAACAAAATGAAATGAAACATCAGACTACAGAAGCATATTTCAGTGATCAAATCACTAGAAAGATTAATTATATCAAATGATAATGTTAAATAAAAATGTGCCATTAACTCAATTGGACTATATGACCTTAAGTAAGATAACACAATTGGTAATACAAAAATACCACGAGATATGAAGGCAATTATAAAACTATAAACACCTGGGCAAGACTCAGCAAGAAAATGCACCTGGTGCCAAGCCTGACAACATGAGCCCCATCCAGGAGGCCCACATGATGGAAGGAGAAAGGGGAGAACCAGCTCTTACTAGGATCCTCTCACCTCCAACCCCACACACAAATACGTACAATACATAGAAATACAAACAAATTTTAAACTATAAATGCTCATATTTTAACACAGCAATAGTAATAAAAGTAATAAAAGTCTTTATGACTTTTACATTGACAGTATAATTGACATTTCTCATATTACTAGAGAATCAGTAATATTCACTTGGTGACTATCAGAAGACAAAGTACTGATACAGTGTTTTTATCTTTAAAACCCCAAGTTATGTGACTTGGATGCTTACTGCTATTCTGCCTAAGAATCTGAATTCTCAGAAACAATGCATAATCTTCATATACAAAATTGCTGAGTCTTTGAATCCCTCAGGTTACTGTTAAGAACAACATACATTTACATCACAAACTTTGGTCTTTCTTGTGGTTAGTTCACTCTTGAAACAGCAGATAGGTCTGTTTGATGGTACCAATATATATCCTATAGCTGGCAGAGTGCCTTTTTCCAACAATCTGCCTGCTTTGGCCCATTCACTATCACCTTGGCATTCCTTACTATAACCTAAACCACACAGTCCTACAGAGGAATCTAGAAGGGTAAGAACATCAGATATGTATGCTGATATAAGACAGTCTCCTACTACTTAACAATTGGGAGAAACATAAATGATTAATGGGGGTGAATATGATCACAACACATTGTGTAAAATATAAAGAAGAAATAAGAGCGAAAAGGGAGAAATGTCCAAGGTATTCCATATTACCCATTTTCTCTCTAAAATGTTATCGGTACTTTTCTTTCCAAAATTTATTGTGTTCCATAAGGTTCTTTCAATGTCAATTTCATTACAGAGAAATTCTAGAAGACGCCGATAGAGAAGCAGCATCCTAATAAGCACTTTAAAAACAACATGCAAAGCACCCTTACCTGTAATGCTCACTGGTGGGGATACTCTGTGAGAAGTACAAAGCTGAGGTTCGAGCTCTCCAATGCCATTTCTTCGCAGGAAGGGTGTAAAGGACACAGTCTTCTAATTCCTCTTGGAGCAGCTCTACCAGCTGTCTGTGGGAGCCTCCATAGAATGCCTCGATGAGGAGAGTACTCATTGGCCTATTCAAAACTTCATATTCAACCAAAAATACATCTTTTCAAATACACATAATATTTTTAATAAACATAAGCAATCTGAAAGAAAATATAAAAATGTTGTCACAAGTAATTAAGAAAAAAGTTCCTCCTCTTTAGAAAAGGTAAAGCATCACTGTCATGGCCATACACACACACACACACACACACACACACACACACACACACACTCGGTGGGGTGAAGCCCAACAAACTGCCTACCCATGTGACATGGGTAGTACCCATGGTCGGCTGACCATAATCATCACCTAGTGACTAACAAGACTTGGTTGCCATTCTCAACAACATTGGGAATCTGAGAAGTCTACAGATTTTTGAAAAACCTAGAGGACACTGGTATAAACTTGTCATGTGAAGCTGTGAAACATCCCAACTGCCACTCATCTAGAGCTGGAGTCCTGTGAGCAAATTTCTGCATGCTGTGAGGACCTAGCTTCTACTTTGACCCACAGTGAAAACATGAGGGGAAACAGCCTGCTGAAGATTACCTTGGTCCACAATGGAATCATTGTGATGAATGAGGACCAGAAACAGCCAAAGTGTAGAATGCATGAAAGGGCTGCAAACAACTAACTTTGATGAAGAAAATAAAAGTGTTTCTGACAACTGAGAAAAAGAAAAATCTACATGGCATTCTTGAGCAGCTGTGCAAGAGAAACAGAAATTAAGAAAAAAAATCATATTCTAAGAAACCTGGGTATATTCTGACCCAAAACTATGTACAAAGGAAAGGGAGTAGGTCCTGACTTTGTTACACTTGACTGTGTACCAAAGAGTTATAGATTACTGACACTCTAACGAGGTATGACTTCTCTAGTACCCAGCTCAGATGTGTTGTGTAAGATCAGTGGGGTTTTTCATTTGTAAATAGAGGACACAAGGTGGAGGATTACAGTGGTAAGGTCTGAATATAATCAAAATTCACTGTATGAAATTCTTGAATCAATAAAATTTCTCTTCAACTTTAAAAAAATAAATCTTAAAAATTAAAAAAGGATTAACACAGGCTAAAATTTTACAATCAGCATCTTTATACCATTTATGTTAATATGAAGTAAAGATCCCTTCATTTTTTTGTATTTCTCTTTTCCTCAGGCCTTAAGATTATTTCTATTATGACTCTTAGTTTGGTATCCTCTCCTACTGTAGTCTCTCACTTCCTAGCTGGTTCAGCACTGCTTGACTCAGTAACCTTATATACCCTGTATGATTCAGAACTCTTAGGCAGTTACTGAACTGGTCTCCTAAAATATTTTTACCTTTTTATTATTTTTCTTAAAGACAAGAGCTCACTATGCAGCTAAGATTGACACTGAATTCATGATTATCCTGTCTCAGCCTCATTTCTAGGACTCTTTCAGGTTTTGATTACTCTGGTACTAATTCATCTTTGAATTCACCAGTTATCACTTCTAATGGATCCATTTTTAAAAAGAAAGTGCATTCATACTCAAAAGGCAAGTTTCTAATATTAAAAATACTGACATATAAGTTCTTGAGACACATTACTCATACTTTGATCAAATCCCCACCGTCTATTATCAATATTTCTAACCCCCAGATGTTTCATATGGGTCTGAATCACAAGTTTATCAGCAAGCTATCGGCCACTGTGGAGGCAGTTCAAGTACCTGCTGAGGGCTCAAAGCCACAGTAAGCAAAATTGAACAAAAAGCATGTGGGAGGTCAAAAACAGAAAAGTCGGGAAAAAAAAGATTATAACTATAGCAGATTTCTACCCTACAAGTTTGAGGCAGCATTTACTTGAACATTTTTTTTTTCCTATGGGCCAATGGGTATGCCTGCATTTAGGGTATTTTTCTATGGAATGTAACTACTTCCAACCATCTCTAAATACTAAGTAGCTTTGATTCATGTAAATTTGTTCTGCTTGTTTTGTGGAAAGACACATAATCCTGACAGTACCCTCACTTACTTCTATTGCAACTTTGGCGGCAAGAAGAAAATGAATTCTTCGCTCTTCTCTTGAAGCACAACCTGAAACAAAGATGATTTCCATCAGATACAAATGGGAGAAATTGTTTTTAAATAAAAGACTTAAACCAGGGGGCTGGAGATGGCTCAGCAGCTAAGAGTACTGGCTGCTCTTGCAGAGGACCTGGGTTTGATTCCCAGCACCCACATGGCAGCTACAAACCATCCTTAATTCCAGTTCCAGGGGAATCCGAAGCCTTCTTCTGACCTCTGCGGAACTGCATGACAAGGGTGCACTCACTTACATGCAGGCAATACACTCGTACACATAAAATAAAAATAATAAAAATATTTTTTAAAAAAGAAAGACTTAAACCAAACGACATTGGAACACATTAAATACTTCACTGTGCTTGACTTTTGTTTGAGAAAATATTGCTTAAAAAAAATAGGCATGATGATGGGGAGGAAAAAAAAAGACACTTTGCTGTTGTAGTGGAATTTATAAGATATAAAGGCAGTGCCGTTTACTCATTTTAACAACAGCCAGAGAAAACTGCAGGTGGTTGCCCTCATATAACAGAGGCTAATAAGCAGGGCATATACATTTTCTAAGCACCAGCAACAACTAGTAAGGAGACAATGATTGGAACAAGTAGTAACAGGGCGACTATGTTTAAAGTTCTAACTCCAGTCAAGGCTAGGGTCTCTTAATGGTAGAAAGTTATGATGAGGTATCTGTGAAAAAATGTTGGCGAGTGTATCTAGGACCAAATGTTAGCCATATGTGCCTGAATTTATGAATATTTTCATGATTTTCCCAAGTGCTAATGCATCTGAAACCCTGAAATATTTAATTTGTATAACTTTATCAGAATCAGGAGTGAGATATTTTAAAAGGCACAAGCAAGAATTCTTACTATGATCGAAAATCGACACTGCAGACTACTGGATGTATATTTCCAGAAAGGTCTAACTGAAAAGGGAAAGACTCACCCTGAATGTACTTGGCACTATCCTGTGGGCTGGGATCCCAGACTGAATAAAAAGGTAAAAGCAAGCAGAGTACAAGCAGTCATCCTTTCTGCTTCCTGACAACAAATGTGATGTACACAGCCCCCTCATATTCCTGTCACTATGCCTTCTCTACCATGATGGACTGTATCTCTTCTAAACTGTAAAACAAACTAAAGCATTTGCAGTTGTTAGCTATTTGTTCACAGCAATGATCAAAGTAATTAATACAGAAAAATGGTACCAATAAGCAGAAATGTATCTGTGATAACCCTGACCATGTTTGTGCTTCTCAGACCTTTGGAACTAGACTGCCAGAGGAATGTGGAAGCTTTTGGAGCTGCATGCTAGAACAAGCCTAGAATGTTGTTAAACAGAGATCAGTGGGCTGGCCACTTTGGAGAAAGTTTAGAAGACCAAAAATGGTTAGAGAATTGCAATTGGTAGATCCTTGGATCATGAGGTTTGAAGAAAACAAGGATTTTACTGGAAACTAGGATAGAGGCAATAAGTGTTATAGTCTTGTCAAGAAATTGATTTTAGTCTATGTTCTAAAAAGTTGCACAAGCTGGATTCAAAACTTATAAAGTAATTTGGAAAAGGAAATGTCAAGACAGTAGACAGCATGCAGGCTGTGCCATGGTTACCATTCATTAATACTAACCAGGTGTGCACTGAAAAAACAGCAAATAGAGCAGAAAAATATGAACAATTTACCATTTGACAAGAAAAGGCATGTGAAAAAGTTCAAAACTCTACAAGGAAGGTGTGAAGAACACAGCAGGAACTATCACAGACCAGAAATGTCAAGCTCTACACTGAGTTAACAGGAAAAAGTGCCCTGAGGGCAGGATCTTACCCACAAAGATTTCAACCTGTAACAATACAAATTCATTTGAAAAAAGTGAGCCTGGAAGCCTCAGGCCTCTCTATCTAGGGTAAGTCCATTCCACCCTCTAGCCTTGAATCCCACAGACTGATTCACCCTCCCATCTCCCACTCCTGTCTCTCCTCCTGGCTTGGGTCCTGTCCCATTTCTTGTCTTGGTGCCCGAAACACTTGGGGAACGACCACTGCTTCCTGATCCTTTGCATCCAGACCAACTCAGTTCCTTCTTGGGTCCCCAGGAGCACTCTGGGCCTGGCCTGGCCCTCACCTCCCTTGGCTTCCCTGGGCCTGCACAAACCACAGGCCTCTCTCCAACACACAGGCCTTTCTCCAGGGTAAGTCTCTCTTGCCCTCCATGCCTTGAATCCCACGGCCTCATTCACCCTCCAATCTCCCTCGCCAATCTCTCCTCCTAGCCCGGGTCCTGTCCCATTCCTGGTCTTGGCACCCCAGAAATCTGGGGAACCACCACTCCTTCCTAATCCTTTGCATCCAGACAAACTCAGTTCCTTCTCGGGTCCCCAGGAGTACTGTGGGCCTAGCCCCAGCCCTCACCGCCCTCTACTTCCCTAGGCCTGCAAGACCCACTAGCCTCTTTCCTGGACTCCGGGGCTGACATTTCTTATTCCTAATTCTTTGCATCCAAACCAACCACAACACTCAGTGCAGTCCCCAGGGGCCCTTGGGGCCTCTTCCAGCCCCATCTTCCTTTGCATCTCTGGGAGGCACAGCCACCTGCTGCCCTAGACCAGCATCTTTCCTGGACCCGGCTCCCAGGACAGTCCAAACCCAAAAGTCCTGAGGCCAATTTCTTTCCTGGAGGGATCCAGACCTTAGGAGAAAGCCTGAGCACATCTGATCCTCATCTGACTTGGGCCTCTGTGGGAACTCCTGAAGACAAAAGCAATCTGGCCACTCCAATATAAAATCAAAGGAGAGAACCCGAAGCTTAGACGAACCAGCTTTTCATAACCAAAAACTAAAGGGCAAAGTCACATAAAGTTCACAAAAAGAAGCAGACCTAAACTTGAAGGCTTGAGTCTCACACAAGAATCAGAAACTACAAAAGAAATTCAAACACCAAAATCAGAGAGAAAAAATAGTAACAAGAAAAATGAAAATAAAATATCCCCACCAAATGCCAACAGTCCTCTAGAGGAATACAATGAGAACCCCCTAGAGATAATGCATGATGTGGAACTCAAAAGAACAATTATAAACATCATAAAAGAATTCAGTGAATTTAAAGAAAACACACAAAAAAAATCAAAGATCTAAAGGAACACAGGAATAAACTTCTGAATGAATTCAGAAGAGTTAGAAATATTGAAGAATACTCAGGCTGAAAGGAAGAAGGAAGTGAAACACTCAGTAAGCCAATTAGAAATGACAGGAAGAGTTCGGATAGACAAAACAACCCTTAGCTCTAAGCGCAAGA